TCGCTTCGAAAATGTTGCTGCCCCGAAAACTTTTGCTTACTTGGGTAAAGTACGTATTGAGTTGATTACTTAAAATTAAATCAATATTTTTATAATATTTTTATATTTATTTATTATTTTAATTATTTTCTTTTGTTATTAATTATTTTTTATTTTAATTTAAGCAAAAATTCATATAAGATAAATTGAAGAAAAAACAAGTGAGAAAATTCTTCAAAAATATTCTCTTTGTAATACATAAATGGATTATTTAGAAAACCTATGTCAATGTTACAACAAATTAAGTATATTTATATATATAAAACATATATTAATATAATAATATATACACGTATGTGTTTTTGTAAATATTTAATATACATATGCATGAAAATAAAGCTATAAATATGAAACTAAACAGAAGAGATTCTTTGCCTATGACAAACACAAATTTAAGTATATCACAAAGACGAAGTAAATCAAAAAAAATACTAAATAATATTTATCCTTTTAAATATACACCAGAAGTAAGTTTAGTAATTAACAACTTTAAAGAGAGAGAACAAGTCAGCATGAGTATTAGAATATTAACTTAATTATCATTAGGAAAATGACCATAAAAAAAATCATATTGCTGATGACCAGCAATAATCATGTACATAAATGATTATTACTCTTAATGATCATTACTCTAATGAACATTATGACTAACTTCGTTATTAAAATAACAATAAAAGTTTATTAATAATAATTAAAATACTAAAAATTGTATATTTATATATTATATATAATGTAAACAATTAAATAATAGTTCAAAAACAAGAAAAAATTAAGTATATATGTATATAATTATTTATTTAAACTAATACAAAATTTATTAAAAAAATACAAATTATTTAAACTAAAACAATTTAAAAAAAAACTTAAATTTATTCACCATTTACACTGAGCTGCACAGTGACTGAACTAGTCCAAGTCATGAACTTCACTGATCGCCCACAGTCGCTGCTGCGCCTTTTATACCCAAGAGTCACTCAAAAGGCAACTCCAGCAGAGCTGCTGAGCACTTTTTGAGTGAGAATTTACACTTATTTTCCATTAAGTTAGAAACAGAAGGAAAGGCGAGCAGACAGAGATAGCTATATACAGTCAACATACATACATTCTGATCGGGACTATATATGCTATACATATATACTTCATATATATGTGAATCAAATGTGTTCTTATATTCTGATCCCATTAAAAATGGGAAATCTTTATTAATGCTGCGATCGACTGGTCTCACATAGGAACAGGCGGACAGCGCTAATTTGATTTGGCTTGTCGTGCTTATCAAGAATATATATATTTTATAAGGTCTGCCTGTTTGTGTATGTTACATATATTTAAAAGAAAACCATTATTCCCTGATATGGTATTTTCAATGGGTTCAGGGAATGATAAATTCGTTAGGAAATTAATATAAATTAAATTAAAATAAAACACAGCTAATTTCTATTTTTAAGAATTCATATTATTTCTTATTTTATACTTTTTTTATTTCTTATTATTTTTATTTATTTGTTTTATTTTTTTTTTTTTACTTTTAATATTTCGTCTCCAATTTTCATATTAATATTCTCAAGTATATTTTAGTAGTATTTTTATTTCTTTTATTTCTGTTTTCATTTTTATTTTTTGCATTTTCTTTTCATTCCATTTAGTATCTCCATAGCAATGCGCAGCTCCACTGGTTGACTTTCATTGATTGACCCTCGAGTAGCGTATCTAATCCATCTTTGACATTTGCCTGGCTGTATTTGGCATCCATATTTCACAGGCTGAAAATCAACCAATTCACTGAATAAAAAATATATATATGCAAAAAGAAGTATATAAAAAGCATTGCTGGGGCTCTGGAGCTCAATCGAAAAACCGAAACGCCGTAACGTGGATCCCATAAATTTTCCACTGTGGCCCTGCCGCTCATTTGCACAGCGGATTAAAGGGTCTCGTCGGGGTTTTGCACTCTCACCATTCGATACGGCCTTTGCGATGCCCAATTTTTCACGTTTTCCGTTTTGTCCTATTTTTCAGACTCTATTTTCTAGTCGTTGTTGTTGTTGTTGCTTGTAGCGGAAAGCTTGCAAAAGTGATTAATGCAAAAGTCGTCGTCGTCGGCGGCGGCGGCGCCAAACGAACAACAAATTTGCCAACGCCCGCCGCATAGAAAACGCAGTTTTTTTTATTGAATTGCCAAGCTTCGGAATGCGCAGTGAAACTTCCATTTACCATTCACCATTTACCATTCACCTGAATAAAACTAGAGGCTCGCTGCATATCCTAGTGGGAAAGTATTCTGCTTTGACTACACTTGCGCGGATTAAAGCGCAAAATGCCACGAAAGCCGCTTTGCCCAGCAGCTGTGCGGGGGCGGGACTGACAGCCAGGATAAGGTGAGTGAGCTGGCACAGCTGCCTGTTAAAGCTGCACACAGCTGCAGCGAATATCAAATGTCCTTGCCAATCAATTATTTAAGCCGAAATACAAGACACGGCTGCAGAGAGCACTGCACACATCACGGATCAGCAATGTGATCAATATGCATTTCAGCAATCAATCAGTCACGAAGTTTTTACAGCATGAATATTTTTTTTCGGAAATGGAATGCATTTATTTCAAAATTTATATAAATATGAAAGTGAAACTTTTGGCATGCACAGACTAATTGGGGGATTATTAAACCAAACTGGAAAAGTTATAGAACTGAAAGTAATTGGGCAATGTGATTAACTATGTTTGGCGTAAGACAATATGCAGCTAAAGCTGGCTAAATGTGGCATATTCATGCTCGTTCAAGAAGTTAACAGTTTATAGTGGCTTTGGGTATTGGTTGTCTTGATGTAAGTCTGTTCGTAGGAACGTAAGATTTTGAGGCTAGAGACTTGAAACTTGAGCATATTTTCTTTAAAAACCTGGACTCAACAACTGCTAAGATTTTGCAGAATTTTCCACTAGAAATTTGGTAAAGCCAGAACTACTATAATTGGTATAACAGAAAGACATTTATTTAAGGTGCTAGAGTGCTTGATATATAGAATATATACTCTTGTAGGCAACTGAAGACCAACCATATAGTAATTATATCTATGCCCATAGAACGTTTAATAAATCAGTTAAGACTGTGGCTTCCAAAAATTTGAAACTGCAGATGTTTGAGATTTATCAAACTTTTTTAGCTAATTTAAAACCAAGATCGATTGTTGGGCAGTTGGTAGGTAGGAACTGAGTATAAATTTCATTCTAGTTAGCTCTAAAGCGTGCATGCTTCTAGCTGAAAGGCTAACACTCAAGTACTGCTGAAGGTTTTCTAGTCTGGTTAGGCGTCTATCTGTGCTTTCAGATAACTACGATGACTGCAAATATGTTAAGGTCTCTGTGTATGAGTTGATTCAGAATTAGCTGACAATTTGGTTAAACTTTGCTTTAACGAACATTTGAACTTTCAAAAACTTTTAATAAATATATTTATATTTTTCTAATTTAGAGATTAAGATTTGTCAATTACTTTGTCATCAATTGAATATTTAAATACTTTTAGCTTAAGCAGACAACAAGCTGTTGGCCCAAGTAGGAATGGCCTTTTAAATGCTCTAAAGCGATTTTCAATAAATACCAAGCGAACCCGACACAATAAAATGTCAAGAAACTCAGTCAGACAGTCAGCCAACCCCTCGTCGAGCTGGCACGCTTCGAACTCGAGACTCGGGGGAGCATTGGAAGCCAGATTTCTATCAAGCCATCAAACTGGCAATGAGAACCTGAGTGCTGAGAGCTGTTGCTGCTGGCTTAGTCAAAAGTCAAAGGACACTGAAGCAACCCCCATTTGGAGCAAGGGAGCAAGGGGCAGCCCAGCTCGACATGCAACGTTATTGATGGTAATTTTAAAACGTGCCTACAACAAAAATTTTACACATTTGCCCGGATTTACAATTTCTCCCTGTGTGTGTGTGGCTTTTTGTTTTGCCTGCGTTCGATTGACGCTTATCTTAATGGACCAAACATATGGCGAAGTTTACCGCCCCGATTGAAGTCGGCAGCAAACGTGTTGATAATTTAAATAAGCTACTTTGACGACATTGCGCATACGCAGCGTTCGCCTGTCGTCGCCGCGATAAGCCTGGGCAAATGTTTTTCGATTTCGTATTAATTTTGTGCGCCCAAATCCCAGCGAGATTTACACTCGCCAGCCAGGGTAGCGCTTCATTAAAAACATATTTCAAAATTCCTTGCGCACGGGGGAATTTGCAATGCGGATAAATCTCAACTCCGAGGGACAAGTGTATGGCTTGGCGATGTTTCACATAGAAGATTTTTAACCAAATACCAAACATCTTTGCAAGGCTCATTTTAATTGAATATTTGCCATTTCCATATACAAAATATGTGCACCAAAAATGCTCATTAATAAGAGATTCTGTTGTGGACTGACTGGGAATGCGTAGCCAAGCCAGAAAGTAGATCAAATTATTTGCTATCAAATTGATAATTGTTGACCTCGACATAAACAAGAAATTATTAATAAAATAATATTATATACACTACAATATCTTCTACATGTTATCTGCTTCAAAAGTGCAGAGTATAAAAATTGTAAAATATTTAATTATTAAATAATTAAATTTAAAAATAAAATTTAATTAAATTTATTATATATTGATTTGTTTCGCCTTTGCATTTAACATGAAGAAAATATGCGGAAAACATTTCATGGCTCAGAATATACAAATTGTTTCAAGCAAATAGAATTTTGAATCTGATAGCTGAAGAGCCAAGAACAGTACTGATCAAGTCATATAAAGTGCTTAGGTTAGTCAAACAATTAGATATTTAGTTCCAAAAATGGGCGATAAATATCGATTTATCTGATTAATCTTTGTACGCAAAAATGCGACTTTTATCGATTTTATTTGATTAATTTTTAACGTTTCAGTTTGATTAATTTTTGTATGCAAAAAAAACCATATATATATAGATATTATTATTCTGTCTCTTTATCCTGAAAGTCGACTCGTCCCGCATAAAAGATTCGGTTGTATTGCCGGAAAAGATATATAAATGGATGGTCCACTTTAAAGTTAAAGACTTTCTTGGGCGGCATTGCTCCTTGAACAAATAAAATACAAATATAAATAAATGTATAAGGCGTGTTAGAGCTGCGTATACAAACTTGCACCAGTTGCCATTATAGCACCATTTTCATTTATTTCCACGACGATTTTTTGAATCATAACATCGACTTTCAGTATGCCAGTTTTATCAGTCAACTTCGAAAAATTGGCATCGGTAAACAAGTCTTTGATGCCCAGATTTATCAACGTTCTCTTCAAGTCGACTTCGAAGTCCACTATGAACTTGGGCAATTCGAGATGAACCTCTCTGGTTGCTCTTCTAAGTTTAATATTATGCATTTCGATCATCGGCAACTTCTCAATCATCATATTAATTCCATCTATTTTCTTTGGCAACATAACTAACAATTTAACATCCTTTTCTTTTAGTGGCAGCTCCAAGACGGTGGCATCTATTGCTCTGATATATTTGTATGATAATTTAGTCGTTAAGCTCATCATATCGACCTGAATAGTTTTAGTTAAGCTCGTATAAAATGGCACTTTCTTCGTGTTTGAGGGAAGGAATTTATATTTCCATTCTGCTTCATAGTAGGCCGCAGTAATCGAGGCAATTTTCGTAAATTTGTGAAACTCAGTAACCAGATTCTTTATTCTGCTTTTAGTTTGAAACTCTACCCAGCCATTGATAATCTTCATGGCCCTTGTAGCGTTCGTAAAGTCGATCTGATTTGCAATGTTGTCAGCAGCTATAACATTGGTCGAAACGAACAATGCTGTATTAACGGTCATAACGTCTCCCATATCGCGGTAATTCTGGTCGTCATCGTGGGAATCATAAATATAATCATCGTTATCAATGTCTTCATAGTCGGCCAGCAATTTATTCTTATTGAACAGCATTACTTGATTTATTTGCGCAGCTGTGTTTCCAGCCGTCCATGCAGCAAACATTTTCATGGCGTTTATTAACATTATAGGCGAAAACATGACACTTCCATCATTCTCCTGAAATATGGCTTTGATAAGTTTCATATTTATAGATTCCGAACGAACCAACTCGTTGGCAGTGAGTGCCAGAAGCACAAACCCTAATAACGTATTAGATAACTTGACCATTTCGCGAGAACTAAATGAAAACGACTTCGGCATATGCCATCGATCCATCATTGATCGATTAGTCACACTTAATATCATTTGCTTCACATTAAAAATAAAATGCATTGAATTTGGTATAGAATATAAGCAGCATTCATCTGGCTGTGACAATCATTATTATTTAAGTTTCAGATAAGATTCTCAAGCTTCATTCTTGAGAGTTCTTTTATTGAGCTAATGTGCGCACATTTGATATTTAAATTTGAAGCGAGTTGTGCAGTTGGTAGGCATTTCAGACACGTTTCATTATCAAATGAAAATTTCTATGCGAAGCAGCTGCAAAGACTTCACGCATATGTGCAGCTCAAGCAGATTGGAGCAGGACATTGGCAAACAGAGCGCCTGGACGAGCACAACAATAGCAAAAGAGCAAAAGATCAAATCAATTTTAATTTAGAAAACAAGCAAAAACGCGTCGGAAAAATGCGAAGCATAGCAAAAAATGAAGCAGAAGACAAGAAGACGGAGCAGCAACCCTTCGGAAGACAGAAATAAGGGCCAACCCCAAAAATGAGAACAAACCTGGATACGAATCTCACTCTGGCCCCTTGGCATATACAGGCAAACTGTGTGCTTAGCATATGCGCATAAATCTCAGCCAGGACGATGGAAGGATGCCAAGAAGGCGAGTCGAAGGCCACCCCTCTCAATGCTAACTGGGGCGACTCGCTGGGTCGTCTGCTGCTGCCGCTTCAAGACGACAGCACAATCTAATAAAATGGCTAAACGCTTCAATGACAATTCGAGCATGTAAAGCATGCAAGGAGAGGCGGACGGAGCAGGGCAGGGCAGGGCAGAGAAAAGAAATGAACGGTAAATACATGTTGCATGTGGCGCTTAGCCGTGTCGTACAAGGACGGCCCCAGCTCCAGCAAAAAGTAGGCAATAATCGTAAGTGAAACTGCCAAGGGGTGCCGAGTGTGAGCCAAGAGCGGCGCAGAGCTGGACGCAGGTTCGGTCAGTCACCAGCTGCTGAATTGACCCTCCTCATGCGAACGACTCGCCCCAGCCCGGTCGCTTGTATTGAAATGCGCTTTAAGTTGTGGCCATGTGTAATTGAATTAAATGGATTTCAATATGCGGGCGCATGTTTTCCGAAGGGATGGGCAGATGGAGGGAGAGTGGGGGATTACTTGGAACAATGTACATGCATAAACAGCTGCCGAGATCAAAGTCACAAAAATTTGTGTTGTCATGTATAGAAAGCAGAGCTTAGACATATCACAATATAGAATGGGATTTATAGTCAAACTTCTTTGGTTGGATTGGGCGGAATCACAAGGAGTTGTATGAAGACTCATCTCTCGGGAATATGGCAGATATATAGATATATAGAATTTTTGTATCTGAGAACTGTTGTGATTTTTTCGGAATTCAGCTTGAATTTGTTCTGCAGCTTATGTCAGTGCGAGCTCGAAGATGCACAGTGTTTAAAGCTCATAAAGCATTTATCCAGTTACAAAACTTAAAAGTTCATAAGTTGATATAGTTTTAGATATACATTTTATCAGAAATTATCCAAATTGGGGATATTATTATTTTAACATCAATCAATTGTAGGAAAAATGTTTGCCACTTAAAATAGATCCTATTTTATTTCAGCTCATAAAAATGTAAGTCCATTTTCGGAGTAAATAATTTTGTTCATAAGAATCATAACGAATTACTATGCTTTATTTTCTGAGCTGAAAATGGGAATAAATAAGACTTCGTAAATTTATGGACTTCAAAGTTCTAAGTCCATTTCAGCGAGAGTTAGTCAGAACAATAAAAAATTATATTTTCGGAGTAGTATCTATTTTATGCTATAAATAAAAATTAAAAAAAAATATGTACTTAAAAAATATATTAAAATTAATTTTTTTTTTTTTGGAAATAATAAATTTAGTAAAGCTCATAACACAACAAAATTGATTTATTTATATATTGATTCGGATTACAGATGTCTGGAGAATGAAAACTTTTTTCGAATTGAGTTGGTTTTCCAAAGAGTTGTTTGGGCATCAGTAATTTTTGAATATAAATTGAATTTTTTATATTCAAGTATTTATATGTATGAAAATATTTTAATAGTATGACTTTTTATAGAAATTTAAAAGAAAAACTTTATTTAAATATTATAAAAATATATATTTAATCTTTATTAAAACTTACTTTAATTCTTGCAATCTCAAGTCACCCAAGCTCGCTGGCAATCAATGACTGGATTTAAAATGTTCTAATCTTATTTTGCAGCCACGCCCACGCTCACGCCTCCCGCCCTCTTTGTGTTGTTTGTCGCTGCTCTTTGTGCTGCTTGGCCGAGGTGTGCAATGGGCTACAGGTAGCTAGCTCATTGGTTAGTTGGCAACTTTGTCGTTGGCTGAACTTTAAGACTCATTTTGTGAAAGTTTTTGGCAACATGCAAACTTCAATCAACACCAGCAAATATCACAGGTAGGAAACCTCAAGACAAACTTAACTGACCAACTGTCCCGCATTGTGTAATTTTTCAAGTGGAGAGACCAAGACCAAGAAGAGATAACACAAAGCCAAATAACAAATAAAAATAAAGTCAAAAGACTGAGAGAGAGAGACAAAAAGTTTTTGTGACTTCTTATCGTTTTTTCGGTTCCTTAGGTCGTTCATTGTTTTATTTACCTGCTAGCCAGGTGTGTGTCTGTGTGTGTGTGTGCTTATTTATATCGCATGATTGAATCTTGGCCAACAGCAACTTTTTCTATTAACTTTAATGCCAGCAGAGACCAGCCGAGTAGCAACTACCAACTATGTGGCTATAAGTCTGGAACTGTCTGCTTTGGCGGCTTTTTGTCTACCTGGTCTACCTGCAAAATGGTCGTCTCTTTAGCTCGTAAATGAACTTGATTTTATCGTCAGCTTCTCTCTTTCTCTCTCTCTCTGTCTGTCCGTCTGCCTCTTTCCATCTGTATTGATTTCCAGCGACTTCCACTTGGCTGCTTCAACTTCCTCAAGTGGTTCTCGGGCTTCACATTGTTTTTATGCCACCGATTTTTGGTTCGTCTCCTCAGCGCTAATGAAAAAGTTCAAAAGTCAATGTTTTTTGACTTTTCATTGGGTTTCATTGGTGGCTGCCATTTCTTTAGAAGTTGCTCCCGCGCTTGAGCTTTTTATGGCAATTTCTGTTTCGAGTCAAGCGATTGCCCATTATTGATGACTCCGCAAGTCGCGAGTAGCGAATGGACAAAGAATAGTTCATTAATCGTCGCAAGGCAAAGCACTTGAATTCCTTGAATTGTTGTCTGGACGCTAGACTTGAAATATTGAATCGTAAATTAGCTAAATTCTGTATAATATATATGTATATATATAATAATGGCGGGGGAGGAGAGAAACAAATTTTGAATTTTTCTTATACATTTTATGCGTAGAGAGAGCAGAGAGATTACCTTCATATAGTGAGAGAAAACTGATTCGAACTTGAGCTAAGGTAACATAGTTTCTTTTAAATAATTAGATAAATATTTCTTTAATTTAATGTATATAACAGGCAGAAGGAGGCGTGGTAGATCCTATAAAATAAATAAATGCTTGATTAAGTAAGGCAAGTCGATTTATCCTTGCGGTCTGTCGGGTCGTCCGTCTGCCCGAATGGTTGCATTAATCTCAGAGCCTATATGAAACTGGAAACTTATAGAGTCGATACATAAGTTTCGAGTCATTAAGTTACTCTCCCTCTTTAGACAATCGATCACTTCTCCAGCTTCAATCGATTAAATCATCATCCAACTTCAAATATGAAATTATATCTCCCACGTATCTAAAGCTAATCTCATTTTGCATTTAGCTTAATGTATATTTTATGCACTTCAGGATTCTGTTTATTATTTTTGGATGCCAGCGTCAAATTGCACATAAATCACTTGCAAATATATGTGAACAATATGTGAACAAGTAGGAATAAAATAATAGATTAGCTGATGTGTCTGGAGTGAACAACGCCTTCCATCTTCTGCCTGCTCTTCGCGTCTTCTCGTGCCTCGCCTCATCTTCAGCTATCTGCTTGCCTCCTCTCATGTCCACTTTCATTTCCTCCCATCTTCTAGCCTTTTACTTTTATATTCACATACATTAAAATATTTATATAAAATACTTTTTAAAGCAAAGGAATAATGCACAAACTCAATGGAAAGACAAAGATATGAGGTATGTTTGCCTAAACTCATATCTGATATTTTATTAGGTCATATAACTTACATACCACCCTCGCATATTTAAATAATTTCAATAAATTTTTGGACTGCTTCGTTAAACATTAAAATCTCTAGACGAATATCTGTAAGACACATTTTGGGGCGCACATAACATCAATTGCTCATTAACTGCAATTACACACATAATTCTATCTGAGAGAGGTGTGTCTGAGTGTCTTTGGGTTGTCAGGCAATGTAAAATATTGGCATTGTACGACATGCTCATTAATTATGCTGGATATTGCAGTTTATCAACACAATCGTCGACTTGACAACATATTTACCACAGACACCTCCTCGCACTCGCATTGAAGGGCTTTGTCTCTGGCTCTGTCTCTCTCCCGCACTGTTGCCTTGAATTGTTTGCACTTGCATTTAATTTATAACCCGAAAAGCACAAAGTTATACATTTTAACAGGATATGAATAAAGTTGAAGACAATAAAAGCAAATAAAACAAGGGACAGAGAGACAGACAGAGAGGCAGAGAGAGCAACTCGATAGGCAAAAGTTAGATGAGGAAGGCAGATTCATTATCTAGCACAACATTTATAAGTGTATGGCAACTGTGTCTGTGGAGTATGTGACTTCCTTCAACTGTCTGTCTCTAAGTTGTCTGCCTTCTCCCTCTCCCTCTCTCTCTCTTTCACTGTGCCACGATGCGTATGCGTATTTAATGAGCAGACGTGCGTGCTGTAGCTGAACTGCTTCGCCCAAAACCCAAACAAAATGAAAATCCAGCACTCC